AAAAAAAAAAATCCAAAAAAATTAAAAATAGTTGTAAACCAAAGAAAAAAGCAACAAAAACTATGTATAATGTTTCGCATAATTTTCTYCCTACTATCGCACAACAAGTCTTCATACTTCTACAACAACTTTCAACTAATCAAACTTAATCAACTATAAACTCTACAAATCTAATCGAAAAGCAGAAAGCCAAAAAGGATAACTTGCCGTCTAGACTATTGTGTGCATGAAATGTGAGTGGTAAGGGAAAGTTATCCCGTTCAACACGTCCGGTGGATACAAAAGTGTCACAGTAGCAGAATTTTTAAGTATTCTGTCGAGTAATGCAATGAGCAGAATAGGAAAAAAGAACAAAAAGGAACGAAATCACAAAAAAATGCTTCAGCCAGTTAGCTACGAATAGTRGATACTTACATATGTACATACATATACATATATATATGAAACAGCATATTAAAAAAGTGCAGTGACTGCAAATCTGAGCGAGAATATTAAAAATTGCAATTATGTCGCAAGTAAAGCAATAAAATGAAGCCTTCGCAAAGTGTGAGCAAAGATCAAAGCGAAGAAGGTAAAAAATTGCTACAACAGTCAAACATTCGCTGAAATATATGTATATATATAATAGTACCCGCATCTGCATTTATACATAATACAAAAACATAGATATATGTAATAGAAATTTAGCATAATTTAATATAATATTTTTTTTTTTCATATTATAAAAATGTTATTTGCATCGTTAGTTCCTAATTAATAATCTCACAATCAAACAAATATATGTAAATACTTATTATCTAAATAATATTTTCGGTTACGTCTAGTAAAAGTAATTTCGGCAAAATGTGCAACAAAATTTTAYAGTTAAATAAAAAATTATAGTGTATTCAGCAATTTAATTAAAATKTTGCACAGTGAGAGTTTTAATAATGGGTAAGTGGGAGTAGGAGCGAGTTGATAACTGAGAGAAGCATACTAACAATTCGCTGAAATATTCAGCGATTTAATAGCTAAGCTGGAGGATGTTCTAGTCACGGTTTTATAGCAAAGCATCATATCCAATATGTGTTGTAGTAGCAKCATATCAACAGTGAAGCAATGTTGGTGCATTTATTTGCTTGCTCGAACATACCTAAGATCCATTACAGGGCTTGTATATGTAGGTTACCTTTCATATTTCCGGATTCCAGAACAAATACTAATCATCGAAAATAGCTTTATTTTTATTTT